GGGTCTGCTTGGAGGGAGACTTGAAGGAAAGGAGGCTGGAGCAGCAGCAACCATCTTGCCATCTACGAGAGCATGGCCAACAGGAAGGGGCAGAGCCCTTGGATGCAGGGACTAGCAATAAACACATGTCTGGTGTGTTTCTCTAGGTGCCTTGTGGGGAGCTGTGTTGAGATCTATGTTGACAGATTGAACAGCCTTCCTGAGGTGCACCAAACTCTGGACGGTGCCTAAATCCTGGAGCAGTGTTGCTGTGCTGCAGGAGTGTGGGTGCAGGGCTGGCTGGGCACCCCTAGCGTGCTCTGACTAGCTACCCCAGCCTGCCTGGACCAGGGCGGGGACAGGGTGGGACCAGCCAGGCACGCTCATCGCCCTGAGAGTGAGATGGATTCTGTCTCTCATTTGCCGCCCTCCGTGCCTCACTCACTTCACTAGTCCACAGCTGTGGACGACACCCTGCCAGACCCGGGGACGGCAGACCAGAGCGCACCCTGGAAACCGCCCTCTGAGCTGGTCTTTTGTTATTGCTATTGGTGTTTGACACACAAAAAAATATATCAATAAAATGTATATTTACTGTGTACAACACATTGTTTTGAAATATGGATTTAGTTAGCTTTTGGTCACTGTGACCAAAATACCCGACAAGAACAATTGGAGACTCAGTCCATAGACGGCCGAGGCCATTGCTCTGGGCCCAAGGGGAGGCAGACACCATGGAGGAAGGGCGTGGCGTGGGGAGGGGAGGAAGAGCCCAGGACGTGGCCATCAGAAGGCAGAGAGAGCTCAACTCACCCAGGGACAAAGTGCAAACCCCGAAGGCCTGCCCCAGTGACCACCTGCCGCAGCCACACCCCACCAGCCTGGTTACCCGTTCACCCATTGGAGTGGGTTAAGGCACCGCCGAGGTGAAGGCCAGCCCAGAGCTGTCACAGCCAAGAAGATCCAAAGTCCTTAACATCTGGCCAGCTCCCTGCCATCTTCTCACTCTGAACATTCTTGCATTTTCTCCCACTTGGGAGACGCGCACGTCTAGACCCCAACACACTCACACCCTGCCAGTGGCGAAACCAGCTAATTAACATATGCATTGTCTCACACGGTTGTCATTTTGTGGTGAAAACACTTAAGCTCCACTCTCTTAGCCTATTTCCAAGGGGATAATGCACTGCGATTCATCATTGTCACCGTGTTGTACTACAGACCCCTCTGCTCCTCCTCCCCGGGAGCTGGGACGTAGCTCCTTTGGCCGCTCTCCCGCCTGCCCCCGGCAGCCCACTCTGCTCTCCGCTCTCTGAGGTCAAGGTTTCAGGTCCACACGCAGCTGAGCCACGCAGCATTCGCGTCCCTGTGCTGAGCGTCTCACTTGGCGTGAGGCCCCTGGGCTCATCCACATCATCACAACAACAGGATTTTCTTCCTTTTAAGGACTAAATAGTATTCCACGGTGAACCCCTACCTCCGTGGACAGGCACTCGGGTCGATTGGTGCCACATCCTGGCCACTGTGAACAGTGCTGCAGTGACTTGGAAAGGCAGTGTCTCTTTGACACACGGGTTCCATTTCCATACGGGGTAGTGGGGCTGCTGGGTCCCTCAGATCCTGAGTCCCCATCTCCAGCTGCATGCTGCCCTTGCCCTCGGCAGGCCTCCTCCCCACTGGGGCTTGGCCTGGTGTCCATGCCCTGGGAGAGTTGGACCCCCTTCCCGGGGCCAGCCCAGTGCTGTCACAGCCAAGAAGATCCAAAGTCCTCCCCACGCCTGCACCCGGCCAGCTCCCTGTGATTAGGGGCGGGGACGCGGCTGGCTGGTGCTTGCTCTCCTGTGACCTCGGAGGGTGAGCGCTCTTTCCCAGGTGGCTCCTTGTGATGCTCTGCTGGAAAAATCCCTCCTGAGCATCCCCCGTGGACGTGCCCACGGACCAGGAGAGAGCCCTGGACGCTGGCATCGCGGCTGGCGAGACAGGGACACCCTTCCCGTGCCAACCTCGGGTCACGCAGCCGTCCCCCTGCCCCGAGATGGTTGCTGGGCTGTGTCAGCTCACACCAGCCCAGCTCACAGCGGAGTGCTTCAGGGGCTCCAGAGAGCCCTCGTCAGCCCCTCAGCGTCTCCCAGGTCAGCAGAGGCAGCCTGAGCCGTGGAGCGTGAGCCGTGGTCAGAGTGTGAGGGCCACGGACAGCACGGGGTGGGGGGCGGCTGAGCCCCAGCTGGCAGGGGAGGAACCCCACCAAGACAGAGGGCCCTCCCCTGGTGCCACTGGCTCTGCAGGGTGTCCCCAGAGTGGAAAGAGGAGAGAGACCGGGGGCTGTTGGAGAAAGCCAAGCAAAGTCTTCCCAGAGCTCCCACAGCCGGGCCTCCTCTCCTTGTCATTGGTGGGTCCCCCTCTTTCTGTCCACATCAATGTCACCCTGTGCCTGGACTCCACACTGAGCACCTCTGCGTGACCACAGCTGTCCTGGGGAGGCGCTGCTTCTAGCTGCGTGGTCAGCAATGATCTCTCCCATCCTCTGCTCCATCAGGACAAGGCTGCAGGTGGAGAAAACGGTGAGAGTCGGAGCAGGTGGCCAGCCCCGCCCTGCACCCCCGGTGACATGGCGCAGACCTCTCCACCTTGTGGGGGACCTAGGGGGTAGCACGGGGGCAGCCTGTGCTGGGTGGGGTGTTTAACTGTGGCCCTCACCTCACCTCAACCCCACTCCCCAGCGAGACAAGCAGCATGTCCCCAGATATTGCTAAATGTCCCAGGGGTGTGGGAAGTGCCCCCAGCTGGGACGCACAGGGACGGTGAGAGGAAGAGTCAAGCTTCCTTTCAAAGGAGAGTGGAGGGAATAGCCAACTCTCTCCAGCAACATTCACTGGCACTCACAGCACTCCAGGTGACGACAGGGCTCGCTGGCCCCGAGACACCCACAAGGACAAGACCCCCAAGTCGGTGTGGCCTTCTTCCCACCTTGCCACAGACCTGCTGGTTGTCCCCATCAACAGGAATCACCGCCCTTAGGAGCCAGGACCCTCTCCTCCTGGCCATCTTCCTCAGGCCTGGGTGGGGCTGAGCATTCCCCGCTCTGTGTCACCAGCTGCTGCAGGGACTGCGCATTCTGCGGGGTCCTGAGTCTCTATCCTACAGGACACACCCAGGCTTGGCCCCTGCAGGGTGTGAAAGCCCCCCCCCTTCACTTGGCCTTGCTATTTTACATGCCTGTGACGTTGCATGGAAATGTCACCTGTAGAGCCCACTGCATGTGCTTGCGGTTTCGAGGTGGGAAGAGAGAATGAACAGTTATCTCATCACCCTGACCTTGGCCTCCACGGTTCTGTACAGAGAGGCCATGGCTGGCATACGGACTGGCACTGCAGAGGAGGTCCTTGACCTGCACGGCCAAGGGGCAAACCAGTTAAAGAGTCATGTTCAGCACAAGCTCCTCTCTACCTGTGTAGAGCCAAGGACCTGAGCCCACCCCCATCTTGCCATGTCCCAGTTTATCTCGCAGAGACTGCGTGGTGCTAAGCTGGACGAGCCGAGGGCAGCCCCAGGCCAGGCCATCACCTTGATATTTCTACAGAACATTCGTCTCAGAGAGAGAGCAGGCACCTCGCTGCTGTCGTGCAGTCTCCCTGCCCAGCGGAAACCACTGTTCACGCTCCTCAGCCAGGAAGCAGAGCCCAGCCGCAGCAGGCCCTGAACGGCAAAGAGGAATCAGGGCCACTCGTGTCACCTGCTGCGACCCCCGCTTCCCAAGGACCAGGACACGCTGACCCTGGGACCACACAACAACCCTGGTCTCTCCTGGTGGCCTCACGTGCGAGCCAGCCCCAGTGGTCACCCTCCCGGGGAGGCTGAAGGAGCCCATCAGCCCTGACAGGGGGGCATCAGGCCTCGTGAAGAAACCTGTTCAGGAACCCCCCCCCCCCGCTGGCCGGGGGAGAGCACCATACGCAAGGCCAACCTGCCAATTAAGTACCCAGTGCTATTAATTAAAACCTGAAAATGGAACTTGGGAATTTAATTAACAATCCAAGTGCAAAGAGTAGAGGTTTTGTGGCTGTTCTGACACGTCTGTAATCCTTCATTAACAGCTAGAAATTTAGATCACTCTACCTAAGCACTGACAATAAAGTAACAGAAGAGAAAAGACACTTCTGAGAGCCACTCTGTCCCTGGTGTTGGCTCAGGGAGCAGCCCAGAGGTCATCCCCAGGCCCCGTCACAGCTCCCTGCAGCAGTCAGTGTGAGCCAGGGACAACTCGGGAAGCTGTGGTGCAGCCCCAGGAGCAGGGTCCCTGCAGGCCAAGGCTGGAACGAGCTGCCCACCCCAAGCCAGCAGGAGAGTCACTAGTGTCTGCAAAGCCCTGCCCCCCCTCCAGCTTCCCCGCCCCCACCTGGCTGGGCAAGCGGGCAGGGCAGGGACTTGGAGGGCAGACCAGAGGACCCATGTCCCACACCACATGAGCAGGCCCCACGTCCCCTTCCAAGGTGAGGGCACAAGCTCAGCAGGGCCTCGTCCTCGCTCCAGGAGACAATTCTCCATGGCCCTTCGTGCTCTGCATCTCTAGACAGAGACACCCGGTAGTGTTCCAGATCATTTTGCAAGGACCTTTGAATAGCCAACAGCCTCAGAAAACAGAGACCGCCCCCTACAGGGCAGAAGCAGGTTTGTTTGCGGCCGAGGATAAGAAAGATAACATCCTCTGCAGGGCAAGGGACAGGAGGGTGGCTCACAGCCCACCCACTAAATCCGGACCTCTGACTGGACACAGACCCTTCTTTACCCAGCATGCACCAGGCCACCCTGCCTCACAGCTGTGGGGTTGGGGAGGCTAAGGAAAACCAGGGAGACCTCAAAGCCCACGCAGCCTGAGAACAGGAGGCATCCCCAACCTCCACCTCCACCCAGGAGGCTCCTGTCTTCCAGCGTGCCGCGTCCGGCCAAGGGAGCCGCGTCCGGCCAAGGGAGCCGAGTCCGGCGAGGGATGGCGAGGTTAAAAGACACACAGGACACCAAGGTTCTTCATCCAGGAGTCACACACTTTATTGCTAACACACTTCCTTTTATGCCCCAAGCAGCAGAAGTGGAAAACTACCCAAAAGCAGGAGGGAGGGGGGAGAAATTTAGTTTCAACATCTGCTATTGTCAGATACCGAAAGCTCCCTTAACAGGAAGTCCATCAGACCAGAAAAGGTCAAGGCATTCCCGTGGGACACATATGTCTCAGACGGATAAGCAGGAACAGAAAAACCGCAAGTTCGCCATGGCCTTGTGAGCTGGCCACACTGGCATGCAGAACAAACTAGTGGAGGTTGGGCTCCAGGGGCCAGGGTGGACCTGCTGCCAACAAGTCCCCCTCTTTTGTTTTTTGCATGCCAGTGGGAATCAAGTAGCCCCTGTCTTAGGTCGTTCACAGCCCTTGCGATGCTTACCCGTCTCTGGGAAGGCCCCCGATTCTCTGGCTTAGGTCGCATCGCAAGCGTGAAAGTTGCCCGTCACTGGGTACCACAAGATCAGCTCAAGGTGTTATGACCATCAGGCCATTATTGCAGTGAACGCTTAACCGTCTCCACCTACGGGACCCACGACCGTCACCGCCGAATGGCAGATGTGATTGGACCGAGAGATTAGACAGCAAAGATCCTAGTACAGGAAGGCAAGAGGGAGAGGTATGCATAGAGAAAAGATATGGCAGGAGTTCTTCCTTTAAGGAGGACACTCATCTTCGGATCGGTCTGAAGTATATCTCAGAGGGGCGATCTTTCATCTTCAAGCGTTGATAGTGAACCTGTATCGGCTTAGAGGCTAAGATATTAATTTGATTCTTAATGAATTGTACTATCTTATTTACAATGTAGGGTCCTATTGCCACTACTAGAAGGAGGTCTAACAATGGTCCCAATAAGGGAAGAAGATAAGGCAAAAATCCATTAAGTCCAGTTCAGAGAGGGTTTTCAAATAATTTCCTCCTCCTTTTTTCTAGGTCTTCTTGGAGTTGTTTAATTTTTGTGCGAACTATGCCAGACTTGTTAGCATAAAAACAGCACCTCTCCCCAAGGGCTAAACAAATTCCCCCTTGATTGGCAGTAAGCAAGTCTAAACCCAGCCTGTTCTGAAGAACTACTTCTGCTAGGGAGTCTATCTGGTCTTGTAAGTCTTTAATGGTTCCCGACAGGGTTTGTACATCATCTATAAGCTGTTGAGATAGGCGGCGGTAAGAATGTATAGCCGTACCCAATCCTGCCGTGCCTGTACCCCCAGCAGCGGTTATTCCAAGGCCAACAGGAGTGGTAAGGCCTGCACAGCTCTCTTATGTCTTTTAACCAAAGTGTCTAGGCTAGGAATGGGTAGGGGTTCATCTCCTGAGATAATCGTGATATCAGGAAGCAGTAATGCCAGAACGCAACCTCCAGTCCAATTTGCTGGGAGCCTGGGAAAAGCTAAATTTCCACCACACATAAAGACTGTGCCATTAGGGGGACAAATGGGCGGGGTAGGTGAGGAGTAATTCTTTACTAATGAGCAGTTCCCAAAGGAAGAGACTCCAACATCAACATCATAGGTATTATTTTGCATCATGCCCAGAAGGCATGACATAAAACCACCTAGAGGTTGCACCTTAAAGGGTAGCCCAGATTGACATGTGTTGTCATCATCAATGGTATAATTAATAGGGACTGCCAATGGCATGACTGCACCTGCCGTCATGCAGAGCCAGCAATCACCAGCAAGGGTAGGATTGGAACTGTTAAGTAAAGAAAAGGTAGTTTCTAGGATATCTAATGTATTGGCATCTAAATCAGGAAGATGGGATTTGGGCAATATCAAGGGGTGGTATGTAGGCTTAGGGATCTCCGGCTTTAAAAGCTTAATCACCTGAAGGTGTTTGATAGCATCAGTGGGTCCCCCTCCATCAGAGACGCCAATGGGGGCCTGCATGGACCAGCAGGAGGGTTTACCCACGACACCCTCACATCCCGCCTCCTTTAACAGAGTCGTGATGCCTTCCCCTCCCCGGTCACCAAGAAAAGGAATAAAATTATAAGTGGTCCCCCCTTCTCCACGGGTGTTAGTTAGGATGGCCTCAAAATACTGTTTTCCCTTGATTATTAACACAAATTGAGGCCGATATATAACAGGAGATGTGCATCGCCGGGGTGTAATGACAAGTGGCGGAACAGCTTCCAAGAGTCTCGGTCGGATTAGGGACAACAAGTCTGGGCTTATTAACACATACCCATTTTGGTTGCTTAAATCCTCCGATGTTTTGATTGAGTTCAGCCGCCATGTAGGCTACTTTAGTCCCACAATCAACACTCTGGGTATAACCAGAGGGGGCCGAGTGCCGGGGCCCTCCCTTACACTCACAAGGGGCTCCAAAAAGATATTCATGAATATTCCCAGGTGGGGGGTCAAGCCCTCCTTCAACAAACCTGTCCAGAAGGAATGCCACAAGCGGGGTCCAGCTCATGAGGTGTGTCTCGGCACTCACTTGAAGGGGTGAGAACAACAGCAGCAGGATCAGCCATCTTGGGAACTTTATTTTGTCTTGAATTTTCATTCACTGGTCTGGTGCAGCGCTCCGGGATCCAAATGGGCTTCTCAGTTCCTGGGGGAAAAACACATACAGCTCCCCTCACTCTAGCTAAGAGTGGAGCCGGGGGTTGCCACTTCCCGGTGGATAAATCCTTCCACCTTATTTGGGCATCTTGTACAGTGGGAGGGGAAAAGTGGCGCTGTGCAGCCGTGCGCCCTCCAGTGTCAGTGAGTAAAAAATTTAAAGTAAATAGGGTTATGCTTAGAAGTGCTTGTGGTCCCTGACAATTCCGGTATATCTCCCCCTCTTTTGTTTTTTGCAAATAAGTTTTTAAATGTTGATGGGCTCATTCCACGATAGCCTGTCCCTGTGGATTATAAGGGATTCCAGTCTTATGATTAATTTCCCATTGAGTGTAAAACCGTTGAACCGCCTGGCTTACATATGCGGGACCATTATCGGTTTTGAGGCATCGTGGGGTGCCCATGGAGGAAAAGGCTTTTAGAAGATGACTGATTATGTCCTTAGCCTTCTCTCCAGTATGTAAGGTGGCAAAAATGAAGCCAGAATATGTGTCAGTGGAAACCTGTATAAAGGAGAGCTTACCAAAGCTAGGGAAGTGTGTAACATCAGTTTGCCAAACATCATTAGGTTGTAGTCCTCTTGGATTAATCCCAAAGGAAGGAGAATGAATAAATGGTGCACAGGTTGGACATAATGAGACAATTTGCAAGACTTGGTCCCGTGAACATCCTGTGTGGAAGCGTAAGGACTGTGTATTTAAATGAAATTTGTTATGGAATTGTAAGGCCTTATCATATTTGGTCGTCACACAGGAAAGGCCGACAGCATGAGTAGCAGCGTCTGCTTTTGTGTTGCCCTCTGACAAAGGTCCAGGGAGCCCTGAATGGCTTCGGATGTGGCCGACGTATAAGGGATCTCGTCTAGCCCAAATGAGAAGCTGAACTACCTGTAGTTGTTCTGTGATGGTGGATTGCTTTCCAATATATGATGCTGTTTCTATGACTAGAGTCAGATTGGCTACATACAAACTGTCAGTATATACATTAAGAGGAATAGAACTATAGACTTTGAGAGCTATGATTAAAGCTTCAACTTTCGCCTTTTGGGCCGACTGACCTGACACAGGTTGTCAGAGAATTTGAGATCCATCAAAAACGACGGCAAATCTATTTTTGGCCCCATCTGTATATACAGTTCGGGCCTTTGGAATAGGTTCCCTTTTTATAATCTTTGGGAAGATAATGGGACACCTTTTAAAGCCCTCTAAAAGTCTATGTTTAGGAAAGTGATTATCAATCTGACCCTTGAAGCTGCACAGGAAAAGACACCAAAGGTCATGTTTTTGTTGTAACTTGTGTATCATATCTTGAGTGTAAGGTTGAATAAGTATGTCAAAGGTTTTTCCAAACAATGCATCACCCAAAGATTTAGTCTTCCAAATTAAGTTAATAACTAGCTCATAAAAGGGAGTCAGTACCCGGGGGTTAGAAGCCGGCAAGTGGACCCAATAAATGGGACCAGTTTGCCAGAACACTCCCGTGGGGGTAATTTTGGAGGGTAGATCTATAAATGACAAGGGCAGAGAATAATCTATCTGCGTAATCTGCATGTCCTGTAGAGCCTCTTCTATTAGCCTCAGTGCTCGTAAAGCTTCTGGTGTAGGTACTCTACACGACGTAGGAGAAGGATCTCCTCGCAAGAGGTCATACAGGGGTTTGAGCTCTCCAGTGGGAATATGAAAGGACGGGTGCAGCCACTGTATTTCTCCGAGGAATGTCTGTCACTGATGTAAAGTTTTGAGCTGATTTATCTGGAACTGGGGTTTTTGGGGAAAGATTTCTATGTTATTAATGATGTATCTCAAGTAATTGTAAGGGTGTTGAAACTGGACCTTTTTGGGCGCTATAATCAGCCCTGCCCCTTTTAGAAGGGATTGGAGGACTTCATAAGATTGAAGAAGTCTTTTTTTCTTGGGCCCTGCCAGTAAGATGTCATCCATATAATGAATGAGGTAGAGCCGTGGGAACTGCTGTCGGAAGGGTCATAAAACCTCAGCCACAAAATATTGGCACATTGTAGGACTATTAGCCATCCCTTGAGGTAGGACGGTCCAGTCATACCGTTGGTAAGGTTCCCTAAAGTTTGTTGAAGGCAAGGAGAAGGCGAAACGCTTTCGGTCCCGAGGGTCTAAGGGGATAGAGAAGAAACAATCCTTTAAATCTATGACAATAAGGTGCCAATCCTTTGGGATCGCAGTAGGAAAGGGTAGCCCTGGTTGTAAGGGTCCCATGGGCTGCATAGTTTTACTGATAGCCCGTAGGTCCTGAAGAAGCCTCCACTTCCCAGACCCCTTTTGTATAACAAAAATAGGGGTATTCCAAGGGGAGGTAGAGGGCACCACGTGTCCTAACTCAAGCTGGTCTTGAACTAATAGGGAAGCGGCCTGTAATTTGTCCTTAGTTAGGGGCCACTGTTCTACCCACACAGGGTCATCTGATAACCAAGTAATGGACAGTGGAGGCGGCCGCACTTCAGTGGCCCCTAGGATAAATTTTCCAGTCCCCTCCGGTCCCTTCCCCGCCGGGTAACCTGTTCCGCTGGGTCCACGGGTGATATTCTGCCCTCATGTCTCTTTCCTAGTCCCCTCCCGGGGATCCATCCCATGTCTAGCATTGCATCATTAACAAAGTCATTATTTTTTTTTAAAGTCTGGGTAGTGAGAATAGCCCCCATTTGATGAAGCAAGTCCCTCCCCCAAAGGTTCGTGGGGAGTCCAGTCACCACATAAGGCTGGAAATGGCCACTATGTCCTTCACCATCTTTCCATTTTAGAAAGGAGGCACTTCTTTTTGGTTGAGTTTGTCCTATCCCTTGTAATATGGCCGAGGGATTCTGGAGGGGCCAGGCAGATGGCCATTGTTTCTCAGAAATGACAGAGACATCCGCCCCCATATCTAGTATTCCCTTGAAAGCCTTGTCCTGTATCTTAATGGTCAGGTTGGGACGCGAATCCAAATGAGCTACCCAAAAGGCCTGGGGAGTTCCAGTGGAGCCAAAGCTGCCGTCACCCCGGGTCCCACAGAGGGCGTGCCCAGGAATGGAAGCTAAGGGTAGCAGCAGCAACTGAGCTATACGCTCCCCGGGGGGAAGAATGACAAGTCCTTGGGTGGCTTTTACGATTATTTTTATCTCCCCTTGATAATCAGCATCAACAACCCCCGTAAGAATCTTCAAGCCCCACTGAGGTGCGCTACCTCGTCCCAACACTAGTCCCACCGTCCCCTCTGGCAGGGGTCCAAAAACCCCGGTAGGCAGCATCTGGGGTCCCATTTGGGGAGTTAATACCGCTCGGGAGGTGGAACTGAGGTCCAGTCCTGCGCTTCCTGGTGTTCCCCTGGGGAGTTCCCAGATAGAAAGGGGTTGGTCAGTGGGAGGCGGCGGAGACGCCCACTCCCCGGGGCACTGTTTCGTTCCTGCATTGCCCCGTACACTTTGGCTTTCGGGGCCCCGGGGCGGGCCCCTGTTTCCGTTTCCCGACTGTATTGGGTTACCCTGGATGTCGAATTTTGACCTGCACTCACTACTCCCATGATTTCCTTTATGACACCGAGGACAAAGTCCAGGCATCCCTCTGCGAGCACCCTCGCTCCTTTCCGGGCAGTTTCTCCTTATATGTCCCTCTTTCCCACACTTAAAACACCCCTTAGAGCGGGTTCCCCTGTTGTCAGATTTCTGCATCCCAGTCTTAAGGGCAGCAGCCAAAACCTGACCAGTAATATGAGGCCCATCTATATCTTTGCATGCTCGAATCATGTCATCTATACTTTTGGCCCGGGAGGACTTAATAGCATTTTGGCAGTAAGTGTTGGCGTTTTTATATGCCAGTTGTCTAATAAGTGGCATAGCCTGTTTCAGATTAGGGAATATTTTTCCAGCCACCTGCATTAGGCGGGCTATAAAGTCCGAATAAGGTTCAGAGGGCCCTTGAGAGATCTTGGAAATTTTTGCTTCAGTCTTAGAAACGGGCAGGGCTTTCCAGGCATGGACCGCAGCTGAGGCTATTTGAGCATAAACACCTGGGTCGTAACTAATTTGTCGGTCTATGGTAGCATACTGCCCGGTTCCTGTTAACATTTCGGCATTTCGCCGTTGATGGCCCGCATTCAGGTTAATCTGAGCCAGCTCACGGCACCTTTCATGATATTCACTTTTCCACAATAAGAAATCCCCTCCAGATAACACAGCCCTGCAAAGTTGCTGCCAATCATTAGGTATTAGTTGACTGGCTGAGAAGGACTCGAAGAGGGTCAATGTAAAAGGGGCATGAGGTCCATAATCAATGACTGCCTCCTTAAGCTGTTTTATGTCCTTGAAGGCTAGGGGGACATGGTCTCTGGCCGGCTGTCCATCAGCATCGACGTTTTTAATCATTGGAAAAACCTGAGCCGCTCTAGAACCCCAGTGGACCCCCGCCCGTCTAGTAGGGGCGTCCTCATTCCAATCAGGATTATAGGGAGGAGGTGCGGCAATTGAGGGGGCCCTAGGCACCCTCACATTTGCCCTTTTAAGGTGATGTTCTAGTTCCTCTATCTCCCTTTCTAATCCCTCCTCTTCCTCAGAGAGAGAACTGAGGTCCTCAGGATCCTTTTCGGGCTTAGAAATCTGTAGGCGTTTCTTACCCCCCGAGCCCGAGTCCTCAAGAGGACCCTCATCCTTTAAGGATTCTGCCATTTGTTCCTCCTGCACCTGATTAAGGGCCTGTTCACATTCAGCAAGCTGATCCTTGATCTCTACTTTATCTGTTAATAAAGCATCCTTTACCAACCTCCATAAGGAAAAGGTGGCAACTGGGACACTGTCCGAGCCCCGGTCCCTCAATAATTTCTGAAGGTCATGTCTCACCAGGTCCCAGTCACTATTATTGAGAAATCCTCCTGTCAGAAACCAAGGACAAGCCTGGGCGATAATTTCAACGAATTTGGTTGCAGTCTTAGTTTTTATTCCTGTTCCTTGTGTATTTAACAGCTCTTTTAGTTCGTTGGCCAGACGAACCTTCGCTGTTGAATTACCCATGGTACGTACCCTGTTTCAAATTATTCTCTTATTCTTTCAGTCCTCCCCCTTCCCTGTATTTCGAAGGTGAGCCCCGTCCACTTACCCCTGCTTTCCGGATCTCGGTGGGAACCTCCAGATGCCACGTCTGGCCAAGGGAGCCGAGTCCGGCGAGGGACGGCGAGGTTAAAAGACACACAGGACACCAAGGTTCTTCATCCAGGAGTCACACACTTTATTGCTAACACACTTCCTTTTATGCCCCAAGCAGCAGAAGTGGAAAACTACCCAAAAGCAGGAGGGAGGGGGGAGAAATTTAGTTTCAACATCTGCTATTGTCAGATACCGAAACCTCCCTTAACAGGAAGTCCACCAGACCAGAAAAGGTCAAGGCGTTCCCGTGGGACACAGAAAAACCGCAAGTTCGCCATGGCCTTGTGAGCTGGCCACACTGGCATGCAGAACAAACTAGTGGAGGTTGGGCTCCAGGGGCCAGGGTGGACCTGCTGCCAACACCAGCGTCCAGGAAAGGGGAGGGGGCTGGGCCACGGCAGGCACCTGCTACCGCAGACGGGAACTCCTGGCTCCCAGCCCCCTCCAGGCGAGGCCTCAGCCTGGGCCTGGGCAGAAGGGAGTCAGTGCTGACTGAGAGGGAAACCAGGCTGCTCTCCAAAGGAAGATGTAAGCTGTTATTGATTTTCCAGGGTGGGCTAAAGTCTGGCAATTTTTTATTGGCCAGGAGCACGGTTTTAAAAGATGTTTGTTTTTTCCCTTGTGCAAACATCCTGGCCTTGGGAACGGGTGCCTAGTGCATCCCGGGGCTGCTGTATTTCTTCTGTGCCGTCATCCTGCACACACACCCCGGCCTTGAGGCAGGATTGGGCCCTTGTATCTGCTGAGAGCAGGTGGTGGGGTGTAAGGGAACACACCAGGCTGAGAAACAAGAGTCAGCTGGAGAGCCCAGGGGACTGTGGCCATTTGTCCTTTATGGTGATCCCCAACAGTGTCATGTGGCGTTTGTCTTTGGAGAAGGTAGAGGCAGCCGGTCTCTGTGGTTCGGAAGGTTGTTGGGTGGAAGGGCACAACACCCTCACACCACACTCTCAATGGCTCCGGAGTCCAGGCCTGGGGCTGCTCCCACCCTCTGAACCCATGGAGACCCTCATCTCACAGCTGGGCAACGTCTCAGAGTCTTTGGGGTTTTGCTCACATTGTCACAGTCAGGACTAAGGGGCAGGCTAGGACCTATCCATACCGACTCCTCACCTCAGTGCTTGCCGGGCTATGCTGGGGGCCTGCATCAGACAAAACTGCTGGATGGGCCAGCGGGGGGCAGGGGGTTAAAATGCAGGATCCTGGGCTCCAGTGCTGGATGTAGGCCCCACACACCCCCAGCATGCTCCGGACCTCTCTGCCTACTGAGCTACACAACCACATCTCAAGAGAGGGTGTCAGCACCTCCATGATGGGCCTGTCTCAGCTCAGAAGCGTCCCCAGGACTGAGAGCCTTGCTCTTCCTTAGCTGTCCCACCCTCTACAGACACCAGCCATGGACACCTGGGCTCTGGGGTTCCTGTCCCCAGGGGCTCTGTCTTGCCCAGTCTGCCAACAGAAATGGAGCCCCACCTGGCACAGGGTGATAAAGCCGTGATGATGGACAGAGGGGCCAAGAGGGGGCAGTAGATCAGGATGTCCCAGCTCTGCAGTGCTCGGTGTGTGACCGTTCTCTGGGGGACTCCAAGGACTGGCTACATGTGGCTCCCAGGCCCCTCCTGGGAGCAGGGACAGTGAGGACTTGATCTTCTTTGGGGGGTACAGGGATTGAACTCAGGGGCACTCCACCACTGAGCCACACCCCCAGTCCTATTTTGTATTTATTTAGAGACAGGGTCGCACTGAGTTGCTTAGCGCCTCACTTTGCTGCGGCTGGCTTTGAACTCGTGATCCTCCTGCCTCAGGCCCCCGCGCTGCTGGGATTACAGGTGTGAGCCACTGCACCTGGCGGACTTGGTCTTTTTGTCTGTTACTGATCCCCAGTGCCCTAGAGGAGCAGCCAGCACATAAGAGGGACTCAAAAATCATAAGAGGAAGGGCAGGGGGAGGAGGAGAGAAGGCGGGGGGAGGAGGGAGAGAAGGCAGGGGAGGGGGCAGGAAGGGAGTCGGGCAAGGTGCTGTCAAAGACCAAGCCGGGCCCAGTCCAGGTCCCAGAGCCCAGGGGAGCTTGTCAAGAAGCCTGTGCCCGGCCTCAGGCTCGCCTCCCTTGCCCACTGGCCAGACTCCTCTGATGAGCCCGGGCTCTGTGCTGGCACTGGCTACCCCTGAGCAGGCACTGAGGGCCTGGGAGTGAGCAATGGGGTGAAGGGGCAAGTTGGTGGCACACCCTGCACCGTGGCGGGGCCCATGAGGCACAGCGCCCTACGGTGCAGGAGCTGCACCCAGGACCGTGGGTGTCACTGCACAGAAAGGGCCGGCACGTAAAGAGCGCCCAACGCAGGGACTCGGAAGAGCACCTGACACTGCGGAAACAGGACAGACAGCAGACCCAAGGCAGCTTCTGGAAAACGGAGCCCAGGAAGCGCTGCGAGCTCTGCCGACTCCAAATCCAGGCTCTTCCTGCAGCAGGAGCAGGGTCCAGCCCATGGTGCTCCCCAGAGGCCTCCAGACTCTCCCAACCATGGCCTCCTGTCCCCCACTCCCCGGAGAGGCTCTGGCCGATTGCCTGTGAGCTGCAGAACAAACAGACCCTCCAGTCGCCACGAGGTGCACCGACGAGTCACAGCGGCCTCGTCCCACAGAGGCCGTGTCCCCCCAGGGCACCTTGGCCCAAACAGAACCTCACCAAGCTCTTCTGCTGCCATTAAAGGCTGGCTGTGCCCGGGCTCCCCGCTGGAGCCTGCACCCCACACAGGTCCTGTGCAGAATGATCAAAGGCGGAACAAGGTTAGTGGGCAGAGATGTTGTGACATCTCCAGAAAGACAGCGCTCCTCGGGGGTGGGAGAGGGTGACGCCTTGGACAGGGATCCCAGTGTCCAGGGACACTGGCAATGCACAGCCCACTGCAAAATGACACCCTGAAGCTGCTGTCTGTCCAGACCCTCAGCCCTGACAGCTCTGTGGAGCTGAGCTGTGGGGTTGGACGACTCTCCTCGGCTGGTGTCCTCTTTGGGCTGCCTTGGTTGGCCATGGGCATGGACAGTGGCAACTCTGTCCTCCAGGTTGGCACGGGTTTGCTGTTTGTCAAGAGCACATTTCCACTGGACGCTTTGTGATGGGTTTGGTTTGGGGTTTTAGAAGGAGCGAGACACAGTACCTTTTTAAAAAGCAAACTGTTAGGCACTGCAGCAGCAGCTGTCCCCACACAGGGTGGTGTCATGAGCGAGCTATGCCACTAACAGACCACATCTGCGTCTCTCCACAATGCCAGAGCTACTGAATAACAGTAAATTCACAGGCTGCACCACTCTCGGCAGTACCGTGGGTCACCCGATCATCATAAGCTGGGCAAACACAGGGTCTTTACTCCATTGCCATCTTAATCCCTAATACCTATGGCACTCAGGTCACCCATCAATCCTGAGACGTAAACAGGTGTAGAAGACTGCGAAGGTGTTAAGGCCGCTACGGGGTTACAGATGCTGTGCTCAGAGCAGAGGCCACGGCAGATAGGAACCAGAGTCCCTACAGGGGACAGACAGGGCTGCAGCCACCCAGTCCCCAGAGTAGTCCAGGCAAAGGGTCTGGACAGAGGCAGCTTCCAGGTGTCAGCTTGAGCATCGTCACGACGGGAGAAACAGCACCGCACCGAAGCCCAGAGGGACAGAACCAGAGGTTGGTCAGGGTGGTGATTTTCCTGGGCAGGGTCATAGGAGTGACCAGGTAACAGGGTCAGGATGCCAACTACTCAGTCCTGGGGGTCCTCCTTCTCTGGGTCAGTGGGGGGCTTGTGTCTAGCAAGGTTAAGCTCCTGTGCCTAGTGTCCCTGGTAGGACTTGGGATGTGCCTGCGTCCAGGTGCTCCTGATTCAGTTTGATAAATTGGCATGAATAAATTATTTTTCAGTCTGTGCCTTGTGGTGGTGCCAGGCAGACGGTGGTTGTTTACTTGTGCAAACAAGGTGTGAGTCGTCCACCTTGGCACCATGCTTAGAATGGAGCAGCTCACGGCCATAGTTCTACTTCGCAGAGTGGAGTGGCTCTAGGTTAGGCACAGCCTTACATCATGGGCAACTCAGAGCAGGGCACAGCCTGCTCTCTCCAGGTGACATCCCGTGAAGGCGGAGGGAGCCTCTTTACTTCTGGTCTATTCCATCATCGGCACCACCACCGGGGCGTGACCTGCAGGCCATGGTGGGCTTCTGTTCCTGCAGCCAGACATGCGGGACCCCCAGCCATGTGCTCTGCAGGCGCTGGGACTCCCAGGCCAGCCAGATGTAGGCCAGGGCCACCCCGCCTTTGAAGTGTTGGTAGATATGGACTCCAGCATTCTCCCTTGGGCCCAGGGGTATCATGCACTGCCCAAGATCTCTCATACCCCATCATCAGACACCCGTCTGCTCCAGGTCTGCCTTCTGAGCTCTCTAACTCGCCAACTCTCCCCTCCCTCGCTGTCTGTGCTCTTGTCTCCGGGATGCAGCGTCTACACCTCTAACCCCACCCCAACACCTGCACGCACACACACACACACACACACACACACACACACACGAGGGGCAGACCTGAGGACCTTTCTGAGATTTCCCACCTCAGAACGGCAGAGGAGAAGATTGGGAGTGACATCAGATGTCCCTGGAGCACCCAGGCACCCCCACAACTGGGCTCTCTGGAAGGTTCTCCTGGGCCACAGAGCAACCCTGAAGCATCACTCGTCAGACAATCAGATCAAGGGATATTCTGGGACAAAGACTGACTCCATGCTTGAGCCTTGGCGACTCCAGCAGCAGGTCCTGAGGCAGGAACTTCTTACCATCGTGGAGGCAGAGAGCCGTCGTGGCCCAGCCCTCTGAATCCTTCAACAGGCCGGGCGAGGCCTGGCAGGGCTCTGTCCAGGGAGGAAGCCCAGCCGTAGTCCCCGTGTGGGTCTGTGCCTCCCTGCACTCAGCCCCTGCTGTGGAGAAGGCGGGCAGGCGGTGGGGTGGACGCTAGTCTCCGGCCTGCGTTAGGACCCTAGTGCTGCGTCCCCAGGACAGACCCCAGCCACGCTGGCTCACAGGAGGACTCCCCAGGGACTGGCAGGTACACAGTGGCCAGGCGTTCCCTGGAAGGGGCAAGCACAGGAGAACAGCAGGCGACTCTCATGCCCTGCCTGGTGTCACAGTGCCCTGCTGTGACTCAGAGTGTTCCTTAGACGCCTGACCAGCCGGAGGGGCAGGGCCTATGGGAGAGCAGCCGCAGCCCCGGGGGACAGCCCCCGTACCTGGCCTGGTCCCTGGCAGTGGTCTTGTCTCTTTAGTGAGCAAATGGCTCCGTCTCCTGGCCCCGCACAGGCTCCCACTCACCTCGCAGCTGGGCCTCTGGCGAGCCGGCTCTCTCCACAGGCCGGAGCCATGGACCTGAGTAGCTTATCGAGGCGTGAGGTGGAGGGAAACCTGGAATCTGCGCCTCAGAGCCGCTGCTGCCACTTGCAAGTTTCCCAGGGAGCCCCCAGCACTGACCCAGGCCAGAGAGGACCCTCTCCCCAGAGCCAGCCCCACCGCCCACCCATCCGTCTCAAATAGGCTTCATTCTAAACAGAACTTAATGCAGGAAATTGGCTCAAATGTCACCAAATAGGTACGTAGCTAGCCTGCTCTCAAAGACCTGCTGGAGAGGCACTCGCTGCTGGTAACCCACAGGCCAGTGCCACCCCCCTCCAGGGGGCAATGTCAGGAGGCAGAGTCAGCACCCCGCACAGGTGAGGCCGGCCGGGGCCTCCACCTGGCCCCCACCACCGCAGCGTGAGAGGTGGAGGTGCAGTGCCCCCAGCCCCCACACACAGGGCAGGGCAGGTGCTCCTAAAGGTCCAGCTGGGTCCCTTGCCTGCCAGGAAGCTCTGCTCCGACTCCGGCTCCCCAGCCCCCTTCTCTGGCCTTGCCCTCCACCTGCCTGCACTGACCCCACCTCCTGCTTTCCTGGTAGATTCCCCCTCCCCTGCACCTTTGCATCTCAGAAGAGGATTTCCCTTCTAACCCTGGGCGGGCCTGAACTCTGGAGCTTGTCACGGATCCCCTCCAAGAAGGACCACACTGAACAGACTGGGTCTCATTCACCGATGTTTCCAGCACATAGTAGGCACACGGCAAAATGGAGATTGAAAAGAGAACAGCACCACACCTGTGCAGCCTCCCACTCATCAAGAAATGAAAATTCAGATGAGATTCCTTTTCACCTTTGGAATCGATTTTTCAATGTTTAAAAAATGGAAAAGTTACGATGCCAGGCACTTAAGGATAGAGTGAGACAGACACGCCCAAACACGGAGGTGGGAGGTAGATGGCAGAGCCATCTGGAAACCAATCTGTCACTTTGTCTATCCGTCAGGCGAGGCCAGGCTACGCCACAGAACAACAGAAAAGCCTGCGGCTCCTGACAGAGTTGTGGGCTTTCTCAGTCACCCGCCAGTGGCCACTGTGCCCGAGGTGGTGCCCTGGGCAACACCCCGGTCCTCACTCTCAGTCTCAAGTCAGAGTGCCATTCACTAACGCAGAGGAGGAAAGGGGACGTGGGGACATCCTCAATTTCCACCAGCAATGACACACGGCACTGCTCTCATTTCATTGGCCAAAGCTGCCACATAGTCACCTGCTTTGACATCTACCTCAATTATGTGCTGAAGGACAGATACATAGAGAGAGATAGAGAGGAGATAGATAGATAAGAGATAGACAGATGGAGATAGATGGGAGACAGGTAGATACATACATACATACATGGAGAGAGATATGAGAGGGAGGGAAAGAGAGAAAGAAGGGATAAATAGGTATATGCTCCGTACCATACAGACTTTTGCTTATTTTTTCATGCCACTGGGTTTTATGTTTTGAACAGTATTTGAATGGATGGATGATGAACATATGGATGCTCTGGTGGGTGGATGGATGGATGGCTGGGTGGACAGACAGATGGGTGAATGATAGGTAGGTGGAAGAGAAAGCAATAACAAGAGCAAGAGTGAAGGCAGGACAGAGAGCAAACCCATAAATGGAAAAAAAATAATCCACATGGCCCAGAGGAAAACGTTGTCATCTCCCAGTGGCTGGGTGGTGCTAGCAGAGAGGACAACTGTACTAGATGTCAGGTTCCTCCTAACTAAAACACTCAGGGTCACTCCAGGGGAACTGGGCTGCACAAGAGACAGAGATACCTTTTTCTTTAGGGTCCTGTGACGGCTCCTCTGACCTTAGGGGTCCACAGAAAGAGAGGGAGCCAGCGCGTGCTGAACCCTTTTACTGGGGAGAAGCCATTCAAACGAGGCAAGGGGTCAGGAAGGCCACACCCAAAGGCAGAGCAAGAGAAGGGGACACACAGAGGGCATTTCCAGGGAACATTCTGTCCCAAACAAGGCAAAGAGGTAAATCACAAAGGAACAGCTGAGGTAGCTCAACCCATGGGGCGACACATCTCCATCTGAAGACATGCTCTCAAGCTTCTTGGACCAGGGCAATGTCCAGGTCACTGTGAGATGTAGGAATCAGTCAGAGCCTCTCTGCTCCAGGATGGAAAGCGTGGATCATTCAGAGTGGCTCCCCACCACTAGAAACACAGTTGTATCCCGAAAGTCCACATGGGGGTCCTTCGGGGTTCTCTGAACACTTCCTCTCTCCCCTCTGGCTTCACAAGAACACATTAGGACATACACCCCCACATGATACTCACTGGAAGAGACAAGTAAACAGCCATTTACAACAAATATCATAAGCACAATAACGGAGGTCAATCAGGGGGATGAGGAGACCAGGAGAACT